ATTTAAACATGCAGGGTAGGGCAAGCATGTGTACGTAAACATAAATAAATTGTACCACACAAGAGGTATCACCATGAATGCCGGAGTGAGAGCAAGAATTCTAAACCCATAATTCACGGTGATCTCTAAACTGAAATGTTTTGGGTACCTTCGTTTTATGCCATTTCATGGGCATGCCAAATTTTTAAGGCTTGACGTGTTTGGTGTTTATTTACTAATTGCAACCCCATCTTTGACCCTAATAGAAAAAAAAAAAAATATGTATACTATTGCGTTTGCACTAAAACTCATTTAGTGTATTTTTTCCTGAAAATTCTGTATGCGTTAAAAAGCTGTGCAAATATGGTGCGACATGAAAAATTGCATCCACCACCATTTTATTCTCCACGGACTCTGCATTTCTTGTTAAAAATTATTTAAATTTCCCAAACTGAAAACATACTATGATGTGTGTAAAAAATGGAAAGTAACAGACATGCGTTTAAGCTGTAGCCACTGCCCTTATCCTCAAAAGAGAACCAATAACAGCAAAGCTCATTAGGCCTTGTGGACAGGGGCAGAAAAAAAAAAATGTTTTTTGCCAACACGAACATTTTTTTTTTTTTTTTTTTAATGGTGAATTTTTCTGCCAGCTTCTAGCAGAACAATCCAGCATACACAGGAATATTGTGCACACTGGGTATTTAGGCCCTTGGCATCTAGGATACAATGCATGAGGTTAGGCAGCCAGCAGACCAGCTCAAGGGACCTCCGACTTTCATACTAAAAAGTCATACTCAAGTACATGAAGCAGAAATTAGGGGACAAATATAGCTAGAGAACTTTGCAAATAAAAACGTTATGACTAAATACTGTGCTGTGACTGTTTCTAATTAAAACAATGGTTCCAGATTATGGGATAAGCCAGTGTTCAGAAGAAATCCGTCTGGAAAAAGTACATACTATATGACTAAATGCTAAGGCTGTAATAAATTAAAAGATGAAGGCGCAAGACTTACAGCTTGGTTTGGATCGCACTTGAAACGTATAGTGGCTGTCCTGTTTCTTAAACCATCAGGACAACGGTCTCCATTTGTATACCGGAGGACAGCAACACCATTGTCCCATCTAGGACCGGATGAAGGCTCTCCCAAACTGATAGCCTTTGTACCATCAATCAGACACGCAGCAGCACCATATCGACAGGAGGCTGGTCCTAAGTAAAATGAAAAATCGGGAAGATTAGAGACCCTTTAAAATTTCAACCTAATATGATCTAAATGCCAAACATATTTGTTGCGCTCAAGCTGGTTTATGCTATAAAACTTTCCTTTTTGAAAGTCATGTTTGCACATTTTCTATGCAGTTCATGCATTACCGTTAAAACTAAGCAAGCAGGACTTTTTTTTTTTTTTTTTTTTTTTTTTTTTAACTGCACCCAAAGACACCTAATGACAAGATAACAAAGAGAAGCAAGGGCTTAAAGTGGAACTTCACTCTTTCAATCAACCGACTATTTTGAATCCTTACGCTGCTAGCAAGTAAATAGAAAGGAAAGTAGATATGATATTCACTTGTTTAAAACGTTTTGCTACATTTCTTCAGTTACTTTCTAGTTTCCATGCATAGGCAAATGATATCATACATTCCAGAAGTCCTCAGGAGGGGAGAAGGGGTTTTCTCATCTAAGCATGCCTGAGCTAAAGGCAGATAGATTCCAGGATGTAAATGGCACACAAATCATCGGGCAGCACAGTGGCTAAATGGTTAGCACTTCCGTCTGGCAGTACTAGGGTCATTTCGAATCCCAACCACGGCACCACCTTCTTGGAGTTTGCATGGTCTCCCTGTGCCTGCATGGGTTTCCTCTGGTTACTCCAAAAACATGCTGGTAGGTTAATGGATCCTGTCTAAGTGGCCCTAGTATGTATGAATGTGAGTTAGGGACCTTACATTGTACACCCCTTGAGGGTTAAGGGGTGCGTGTGTGTGTAAAAGTGTTGCGTAAAGTGCTATATACACCCCTTGAGGGTTAGGTGTGTGTGCGTGTGTGTGTGTGTAAAAGTGTTGCGTAAAGTGCTATACAAGTACCTGAAATAAATAAAAAAATCTGCCCTTACCTATTCTGGCCACTGACAGAAATGCTAGGGGTGTTTTGTAATGTGATTTCTCAGCAAAATACAGCATGCAGACATGGATGGATGGGGGGGATTTTACTTTCAATATTAAAAAATGAATTTAATGACGCTTTTTGTTTGTGGTCAGATACAGTGTAGTTCCACTTTAACTTAGAAAATTTTGGAGAAGTAAAAGAGCCTCTGAAAATTAAACTGGGGAGACTTCGTGTTCAATATTTACTGTACATACTTTACAATACATAAAAATATACTGTTGTCAGTAATACAAATTGAATGCTGCCCAAAAAGGAACCAATGATGCCCATAAATGAACCAACTGTGTGATTTCTAAAGTCTAAAAGTGTGAATGTACAACCCGAACACCAGCGACACATTTCGACTTGCAAATGGGGGAGTTTAAAATGACCTGTCGAGCCACATTTTTAGCACCCATGTTGCTGAGGTTGTTCCTAAAGCAAGTGGTGAGAGGGAATCTTTCAATGGGGACACCTTTTCTAGGTACAATTGAGTAAGAAGGAGATTTGTAAAGTAGGGGAAATCCAAATTTGTAGAGTTGCCACAAGAAGAAGTAGTGGGGGGATTCTTTCAACCTGCATAATTGTCTTGGTGACTTCTAAGAAAGGAAATTCTTATTCATAAAGATTTCCCATCACTGACTCTTGAATCTCCAGGGCAGGAAATGAAGGGAGATATCCCCAGTGGGACACATACTGTATATTTTATTTAAAAAAAAAACCCACACCTTTTCTACTCTATCCAAAACAAAATGTTGGATAATATATCTACATACATACATATACACACGCACACATACACACACATATATACACAAGCTTTACCCGCTTTTGGTAAAAGGTTATTTTATGGGTTGGCAAATAATTAGAAGATAATTATTTAGATTGGAGTCTGCCTTTTTCAATGTCAATAACAAGGGGAAGTTCCTAAAATGTTTCATTTGTAATAATTTAAACTGGTACTAAACACACACTGTTCGAGTTACATTACCCCTTCTCTTTCTTGTATGTGAATGAAGGCACTGTAATTTTTTTTTATTAATAAAAATAACAGTACCTTTTTACCCCAATGGATATACAGCTGTCATATGACCCCGCTCTTTCCCAGCCTATCTGCAGGGAAACAGTGGCAGGAGGAACTTCTAGTCCTCTGCTACTGGTCACATGTTCAAAATAAAATATGGAATAGAGTAAAAACAAATAATGAATATAAAATGGATTTAAACTGTAATACAAATATAAATTTTAAATCAAATCGTTATTGTTTTTTGGCAATAACATGGTGTGGGCAGATTTCTGCCAGTCACCGGCTGTGTCACACACTCTCTAGCCTATGCCTTAGGGCTCATGTACACTGCAGCACCTAAAACGGACATTCAGGAGCTGTTCAGAGTTTTTTTTCAGCAGCCCCTGAACTCTCCTTTATGTTTACAGGCAGTTTACAGGCAGTTGAGTTTACAGCCTTTTTTTTTTTTTTAAACACACCAAACTTTAAAAGCGTTTGCGTTTAGAGGCTTTTTTTTTTAACTGTTCCATGTCCAGATGCTGTCCAGAGCCTTTTTTCATCAGAAATGCATGCAAAGTGTTTTCCATGTATTCAAATGGACCTAGTACACCAGCGCAGTCAGTTCCAGGTTTTGCATGAAGGAAAAAATGGTGGAACGTACTGCATTATTCTCATGATGGGATCCATACTGAATACAACCAAAAAAGACAGGTCATCTCAACACATACTGCTCTCTCTGCTTCTGCTCTCTTTATTTCTCCCAAAATGTCTGAAATAGTTAAATTTGTACTGTTTTTCAGTGCATTCTGGGCATTTGGGAAGGTCTCCTGAGGTTATCTTTTAAAAACACTTCTAAACGCAAAAACACGCATAAACGCGGTATACAAATGTGGCTAAACTGTCTTTTTTAACCTACGTTTTCCAGCAGTCAATTTCAGAAGAGTTTTCCAAATGCCCCGTATACATGAGCCCTAAAACTAGCTGTTTTCCCAGTGTAAAGAAAATCAGGTAAAAGGACTCATGTACACTGCAGCTCCTAAACTGACTTTCTGTATTTTTTTCAGCAGCCCCTGAACTCTCCCTAATCTTTTCCTATGTGTCCATGTACACAGTTGTTTACAGGCAGTTGAGTTTACAGTTGTTTTTTTGAACACACCAAATTTGCGCTCAGGAGTAGATTTTACCAGCATTCCAAACGCTTGTAATATGGAACAGAGGGGAGGGATAGAGTACACCAGAATGTTTTTTTGCAGAATACAGAAAACTAATGCCATAGTGACTGAATGAGTACGAACAACATGTAATACAACATTTATTAATAGTTTTTAGTGATGTGAGTTTGGTGACACTTTAAGAAAGCTATCTCTTTGAGGACAGCTTTAAACAATCACAAGGTGATATATATATATATATATTTTATATATAAATGTTTTTCCAACTTGATGACCAATGGCAGGCTGTGCTTTCAATGAAGAGCCTTTCCCTTTTTCGGAGAGAAAGAAACATGTTATTTACAGCGCAAAGACAAGAAAATATCTTATCCATGACTGCCTTATAGGGGAATTAGCTGTTGTGCAACCACTACAAAAATAGGCAGAATGGCCATGTATTCACATTTTGAGTAATAATGTGCCAATACTGCAAACATGTAAAAAGGTAAGTGCATTTTATCGGTTTTATCTCATTTAGCTTAAAAAAAGATGAATCCACAAGACTGCTAATCAAGCTGTTGATAAACTGTGTAAATCAAATCATTTCACTAAAGGCCATGTATGTTTAAATGATCTTACCAGATTTTAGCACTAAAGGCTTGCAAATATTTAGAAGGTACTTTTGCTTTGAGCCAGACAGAATTTCAGCTTCCCAGTTGTCAGTGTAATGCGACAGTGAAGACAAGTCATATGAATTCCCATCAGTGTCCCTTCAGGGTGAATTAAAAAGAATTGAAAGAAAGCATTACTAACATATTAAAAACAAAAGGAAAACATGAAAGTATTTTAAAAATTAAAATGATAAATGTCAGTTAATGATTTCGTCCAGCATCACCACGGTTTCCTAATGTACGTTGTAAATAATGACCCCATAATGATTTTACTGCAGTAGAGCGCATGTATACCTAAATATTTTACCAAACCATATATCTATCTATCGAGTATATTTTACAGAAATAAAGACTGAAATCAACCATTTGCCCTCCACAGGATTTACCCCCCTTCCTGACCAGGCCATTTTTTTGCGATATGGTGCCGCGTTACTTTAACTTACAATTGCGTGGTCATGCAACACTGCACCCAAATTAAATTTATGCCCTTTTTTTTACCCATAAATAGAGCTTTCTTTCGGTGGTATTTGATCGCCTCTGTGTATTTTTTTTTTGCGCTATAAACAAAAAAGACCAACAATTTTGAAAAAAACAAACAAACAATATTTTACAATTTTTGCTATAAAACAAATATAAAACTATAAAAACAAAAATTTTTTTTTAAAAATCAAGTTTCGGCATAAATTTAGGCCAAAACGTGTTCTGCCTTATGTCTCAATATGTGTAAATGAATTGGTTTACGTGAAAGTCATAGCGTCTACAAATGGCGGAATTTCTACTGGATTTTTTTTTTATGCTAGTAATGTCGGCGATCAGCGACTTTTAGCAGGACTGCGGCGGGCATTCTGACACTGGGGAGAGTTTACGGTCACTGACATCCCCAGTGGCACTAATACAGTAATCAGTGCTAATAAAAAGCACTGACACTGTACTAATTATGCTGGTCAGGAAGCGTTTAACATCTGGGGTGATCAAAGGGTTAACTGTGTGCTGTTTAACATCTGGGGTGATCAAAGGGTTAACTGTGTGCTGTTTTACTAAGTGTGTGTTTTACTATGCAAGCATGTGGCTTTGTATTGCTCTGCTGACAGGAGAGAGATCTGTATTGTTTACATAAAGACCTCTCCCCTGTCAGTGTTCCTCGGCGATCGTCAGGTGCCAGCGGGGAATCTCCGGCCGGGACATGGTGATCAACAGCTGTAGCCGCCAATCGTGGCGCGGGTAGGGCAGCACGCGCCCCCCATACCCGGAAATGCAAAAACGCGAAATCATGTATATATACCCTGCCGCCCTGTAGCAGTAGATCTGCTATAGGGTGGCGGAGAAGCAGTTAATAGATGACCAAACATTAGTTACACCACAAACCTAAAGACTTAGAAATAAAATAATCCTTAAAAATGACATTTGTCTTACTTGAAGGAGCAGTCAACAGGTTTGAAGGGAGGGCAAGCAAGGGGTGTGCGCCACTGAAACGTATATATGCAGTCCGGAGTCTCTTTCATAAAGACAGGCTGAAATACGATAAAATGTAATAAAGGCATGCTAGAAGTTTATGTGCTAATCACTATGCATTGAAATTAACTCCACTTTTGTTGATATAAAAATATTCCCCTCTGGGTGATCTCTGTACATTGCAGGGTTTTTAACAAACTTGCTGCAGATTCCTACCTTTTGTTATTCTGAAGAAATAGCTGTTAGTCAGTGAGTACATGTGCAGAGGTGAGTCTGAATGGGAGTGACTTGGCTGCTATTGGCTGCTGCACCTGCAGGGCTCTAATGAGGAAAGTGGCAAGGACTGCATCCCTTTAGACGTGATTTCCCTTTGGGAGTATCCCACCAAAAATTTAATTTTTGTTGCAGGAGATGCAGAAAATGTGACTTGTATCTTAGTGCAGACTTCTGGGAAAATCAGTAAGCCCATCAGAGAAGCAGGAAATTACATTTCTGGGGAGCGTTCTGTACACCATCTGTGCACAGAATTCCTCCAGGTTGCCATATTGCATTTTACAGAAAATTACAGCACTGCAGATTGAAAAGGAAAGGTAATTTTTAAATAACATTCAATTACAATATGAATTGTGTTACACACTATATTTTTAGTTTTTTTTTTTTTTTTTTATTTTCCAATGTTTCTCAAAAAAGTGGTGTTACCCTTTAAAAGGTATTTACATAGTAATCTCAGGCAATCCTCATACGAATTCCTGGTTCGTAACATTCATTATGCCAATAAAACTGATCAGTAAAATGGAACCTGTATATGGCTGAACACTGACCCCTTTTGAACATAGAATCCTTTTAGCATAATGGTAAGAGGTTTAGATTTAATACTGTGGACTAGGCAGGCCCAAGGTGTAAATACAAAAATGCTTGTGTTTTTCTCTCTCAAAGTAAATCTAAAAACAAAACTATTTTCTTAGTTTAAGATTGAGCAAGGAAAGCATTAGAGCCTTTGTCAGGTTTGCGATGTGTTCCTGCTTTGAAGAGTCATTTATCTGCTTGTCCTGGTTAAGGTCAAACAGTGATGGCAAATCCAAAAATTTTACATCATCAGGTGGAGGGAATGATTACAACGGCACTTCTGTCTAAATATAGAATTTTGTACTTGCTATAAAACATATCCAGTAAAAAAAACATTTTAAAAAGTAAAATTTCGTCATACATTTAGGCCAAAAAGTGTATTCTGCTACATGTCTTTGCTAAAAAAAAAAATCCCAATACGTGCAAATTAATTGGTTTACATGAAAGTTATAGCGTCTACAAATGGCGTTATATATACACTGGTTTTTTTTCTTTTTATACTAGTAATGGCGGCGGTTAGCGACTTATAGCAGGACTGCGGCGGGCATTCTGACACTGGGGGGGGGGGGGGGGGGGGGCCGCCAATACAGTGATCAGTGCTAATAAAAAGCACTGACACTGTACTAAAGACACTGAGCAGGAAGGGGTTAACATCTGGGCTGATCAAAGGGTTAAATGTGTGCTGTGTGTGCAGTTTACACTGTAAGCACACTGCTTTGTATGGCTCTTTAGCAGAGCCATGCAAAGCAGTGAGCAGGAGTTGGCAAGGCAGAGATCTGTATTGTTTACATACAGGTCTCTCCCCCATCTGTGATACACAGTGATCGCCGGGTGGTGGCAGGGAATCACAGGCCAGGACCCAGCGATTGACAGCCAAGGCCACCAAACGCAGCGCAGGTAGGGCGCACGCCCCTTACCAGAAAATGTGAAATAATGTATATATACACACACACGTGGTTTTGCGCACGCCTGCCGGCCTGTAGTAGTGTTTCTGCTATAGGGTTGTGGAAAAGTGGTTAAACAAAAGTAAATTTTCTTTTTTGTTTCATGATCAAAGTATCGCTTAGGACTACATTCAAGAAAATAATATGCACCGGTAAATCATTGTGCTTTACCAAAATCAAAGCAGTATTTTCTTACAAAATTTTTCCTAAAACATTATACCAACCTTCTCTTCTGCTTTATCACAGTGGAAGAGAATAAGTGTTGTACGGTTATACTTCTGGTGGCAGAGCTCTCCTCCGGTATAATTTATCGTAATGATACCATCTTCATATATCAACTTTTGATTGGTTAATCCTATTAAACAAAAGTAAACATAGGACTATTAGGTAAAAGGAAGAGTAGTAAGTAGATTACCAAGGTAATTAAACCTTGCAACAAAACATTATTGGATTAATGATCTGACATTTCTTTCCACTAAAGAGAACAGTTAATGATGACCAATGGAAGATAGCTGATGTTCGGTGTATGTTTTGTCCACCCTGCAAGACCACCAGGAAAAGCTGCATTTCTATTTCCAATAGTGCAATACTGCATAAAAACAGTGACCGTTTCTATTCTTTTCTATACAATACAAGGAGTTCCCCAATATGTTCAAAAACATCAGTGTGATAGCAAGTGCTCCCAAAGCTCAGAAGTGCTCAATCTTGATCCAATATGGACCCATATACAGTACGATCATTACAAGGGAGGCGATTCGTAGCCAGGTGATTTGTAGTTAGGAGTTTATAGAAAATTACCGTAGATGCAATTTAAATTTTGTGCACAGACTTTTTTGTTGCCAAAAAGAAGACTGGATTTTACTGTACTCTTTCAGGCTGAACAGTTAAAGTGCACCTATAGCCAAAGCCCTTTTGTTCTGGACAAAGGAAGGGTTACATAAAAGTGCATATTAGGCATAATTGCTTTTTTTATACCCCTGAAAACTGAACATTAGGCGCCAGAAGCATCAGAAGAAAACCAGCTGGGATGGATTTTACAGCGGATCATTTGTTTCCCCAAGTATGCTTGGCCATGGGGCTTCCATGGAGGTTTAGATACTCCAAGGAAAAACGTTTCCTGATTTAATCAAACAGCTTACCTTGGCAAAACAGTTTGTTTACAGGTAACTTGTTATTGGACAGAAAACCAACTTCTCACCTGACCTACTGACTTCATGCTTACCTTGCGCTAACATTATTACCATGCTTTGCTGGGTTGCTTTGCCTTCCTCTGGATCAACTGTGGGTATAGGATTATAACTTTTGTTTTTTTAATGGTTGAACTGGATGGACTTTTGTCTTTTTTCAGCCAGACTGTGTGTAACTGTATTAGTGCTTAGAGTAGACTTATCAAGCAAACTCATTGGCATAAATGATTTTCAGGTTAGCTTCAACAAGCATATACGGTTTGAAAGTCATTTACAATTCTGGCATACTGGTTGTTTATAAATTATTATGACTGTTCTGACTCAAGCAGCTAAAAAAAAAAAAAAATATTTCACAGGACTACTTGCATTCAAACACGAACTAAGATGTTCCCAATTAAGTTCTGACTGCCATTTACTGACAATATAACAGGATTTTGTAATCCTATGTAATGTGGTCCCACATACTCATTATACAAGTGTCCCATTCATGAACAGTCAACCTGCTCTCTGCAGATACACAATTATATCAGTACCTGCCACCTTTGCTGTGGATCCCTTCACTTGACAGGATGAAACTGTTCCACTAGATGCTCTGGATGCACAGGAAGATCCTGTAACTTCCCCACAGACACGAAGCTGATATGTGAAATCGCCATCTTTCACTTCCACATTCTTTGCTCCCAGTGGTTTCAGATTATACACATGACCATATTTTGGGTCTGTAACTTGGCATTTGTCACCTGTATAAAAAAAAAAACCAAAAAACAAAAGTGATCACTATTAATAATTCTGATATTAAAACAGGTAAAAATGTGTCCATTTTTCTGCTAGATGATGTCAATTGCATGCCAGGTATATGGAGCTTATAGAATGACCAACTATCATACTATAGGGTCAGAAGGATTTCTGAGATGTAGAAGGCATCCAAAAGCAATCAAACTGAGATGTGGGCAACACAGCATAAAATATATTAACAAGCCCACAACAGACAAAACTAGGGGATACTTGTAGCTCACAGATTTGCCCAAAGGAGCTTATATATGAAACTAGCATCAGCTGAGGCCAGAACATCAACCTAGTAAAATGCATGAAGACCAGGTAGCAGCCTTACAAATCTGAGAAACAAGGCCAACACAAGGCCACTAACTCAAACTCACTTTGCAGAAATTATGGCAATATACAAGGCTACCTAATCAGTGAGAGTAGATTTTTACAACTCCATGGCTGGATTTGTAAGCCACCAGGCCAAGCATAACCTTCTCTCGGGTATTAGGCTTGGTTCACATATATGCATTTTGGGTTTAATGCCTTCAGTGCTTTTTTCAGTTTGTTTTGCATTGTTCTACATGCGTTTTTACAGCGTTTTGTTCAGCTTTTTTTTTTTGTTAAAGTGGGACTTCTTTTGTTGCTGGGCAGAATAAAAATGTAAAATGCAGCACAAACGCACTGCCATGCATTTCAGCAGCTTCTCCATTGAATCTATTGTAGCAAAAACACTGCTTTTTGCTTTTAAAAAAAGTCCTTGACCCTTTCCAAAAACGCAGCATCTCAAAAAAGCATAGGTGTTCCATAGGAAACTGTAGTGCGTTTCTGCAAAAAGGACTAAAAACACATTGGTGTGAACGGAGCCTGAACGGATTGCTAGTGAATGTGCTTTCTTGTCCCACACAGTTAGAATGTTGAGATGCTATGGTATGGGGTGGAATTGGGTGAAGGAAGCTGCCTTGAAGAGTTGGGTTGGCTTCTGGGCAGCAGGGTCTAAACATGGAACCACTTCAAGAGTCAAGTGTTCATTTTGTTAGCGATATCTAGAAGGTTTAGATACTCCAAGCAAGGGGTCAGTTCCAACTCTAGCTTTTTTAGGTTTACCCTCTGGAGAGTTTTAACAGTTTGTTGTATACGGACTGATCCAGCTTGTGTCAGGTTTTCCCTCAATAGGAGTTCATCCAGTCATCCCAACATGGGAAAGCCCTGTGAGAGTGTAGCAAGACTAGCACCTTGGAGAAAACATGAGATGCAGAGAACAGGCCAAAAGGAACGGCAACAAACTAGTAGTGCTTTGTGCCCACAGGGAAACACAGGTAGTGTTGATGCATGGGAAAAAAAGGGGACAAATAAGTAATACCTTGAAGTACACAGAGGCCAGGAAGTCCCCCAGCAGAAGGGAAGCAATAATGGACTGGATAGATTCCATTTAAAATTTTTATGTGAATGAAAGCTTTGAGTGTTTTTATGTCAAAAATGGTGCATGCCCCCTTTTGCTTTGGGTAAAGTGAACATGTTGGATATAAACCTTTCTCGACTCAAAAGGAAAGTCATTTTGCAAGGGCAGCGTGGAAGCATGTCAATCACTGCAGGGATGCTAAAGGATGAAACAGCATAAAGTGTGGCAGAGATAGAATTCAAAACTCTAGCTTGAAGGCCCTGGTTACCTTGGCATTTATCCATGCATCTGATATGCTTTCGGTCCAGACATTTGCAGGCTAACATAAGCCCCCTTACTTTGAGTTGGACTTGCTCGTAGGTTTAGAAGGTTTTGGCATCCAACAGTTTGGACTTGGATTTAGAGATTTGGGGGATACCAAAGAAATTCTTCTTAGGGTCCATTCACACCAGGTGCGGTGGGACTGCGTTCAGCGCCATTCCAATACAGTCCCATGGCAAGACAAGGCAAAGTGTTTCCTATGTGCCCAGTTCACACCAGTGAGTTGCGGCAGTGTGCGGGCAGTGTGCACTGGAAAAAACAGCAGGCCATATTTTTCTCCAACGCTGTGCAGTGTGAGGCAATCCACTGCTTCACCCCCTGTGGTGTCCAATAGAACATTTCAAGATAAAGTTCGTTAAAAAGAAGTAACAGAGCATTGTGCCACAATTAGTACATTGGCACTGCAGATGTCCCGCTGCATCAGACCACACACCAGTAACAATATATTATATAATATAATATGTATATGTAATTATATTACAGTGTCTAATGGGAATAGACCCTGAAGGGCTGGTTCAGACCAGATGTAGTCCAGTGCATTTTTAATCTGCATCAAAAATGCATGCACAGTGTTGTTCATGTATTCTAATGGCCTTAGTTCACACCAGTGTAGTGCGTTCAAGTGCAACAAAAGTAGAGCATGCTGTATCTTTTTTGCATGGAACATGGCAAAACCCATTAAAAATGCTCCGGAACACACGTGTCCTAAAAATTGAGATAAAGAAAAAGAAAAAAAAAAAAGAAAATGGAGGGGGGAACACCACAATGGAACGCATCAAAAACACACCAGAATTTCCTAGCACTTGGTGGGATGTTTTGTGGGTCTTAGGGTGTGACTTTTTTTTTTTGTATGACCCACAAGCGACCAGATACCCTTCTGATTGACATGGCTTCTTTTCCTCTGTTAGGCTTGCAACTGGCCACCATCACTGACGACACTTTGGATTCCTAGGCTACATATATACCAGTCTTGTTTATTTATTTGCTTTCTTTCCCTGCATGTTGCACTGGTGACATAAGAATGCCTATTTCAGCTGTTTTCCGTGCCATGACGCAAATTGGTAAAATGTCTCACCAAAATGTTCACCTTATCTCTGTACGCGATTTTGTTTAAATAAAGATTATAATACAAAAAAAAAAAACACACACCAAAACATATCAAAAGCGCACTAAAAAAGAGCAAGCAGAAACACATCTGGAACGCCTAAATTGTGTTGTGAACCAGCCTTAATTTCAGAGAGAGGAGGTCTTCCAACAGGAGCCTTCACTTTCTTTTGCTGGGTCAAAAAGGTACTCTTTCACCCAGTGACATCTTTAATAAAGCTGTCCAGGGAAGCATCAAGGTGGTGTTCAACAAAAGGCATACAGTAATACAAGAAGCATATTTTGTACTGCTGTTCAATAAGCCAAAGAGTCGTATAGATGTATCCTTGGTCAAGGTCTGGCAAATGAACAGTACATGAAAACAATGGTGGGGTGCAAAGAAGGGCTTGCAAGGGAAAAAGGGACTACTTAGAAAGATTTTCCAATCTTGTCTGGTCTTTGTCAACCTGGTCCTTAAACACTGGATGTTCTCAACATCAAAAGTCCGGGTTTTATTAAGGCAAGATATGGCTGGGCCCACTTCTTAACAAATGCCTCTTCAATAGGGTTGAGGCAAAATGCTTCAGAAAAAAAAAAATAGCTTGTCAGGATGATACTAGTCAGCATACAATACCAATTGTAGTAGTGAATATACAAGAAAGGTTTTCATGGGTTGGAGACTCTTAAGGGAGCCCAGACTAGAAACTAGAGAATTCAGACACAGCTTACTCAATACCTAGGCACAGGGGCGTATCTGCCACGAGGCAAACAAGGCTTATGTTAAGCCTGCAGCATGGACAGAAAAAATCTAATGTATAAGCAGAACTTGTCTGGCTGTGTAAATGCTTACCTTCAGCTCTTATAACAGGGCATGCTTCAGATGTCCTCCACAAGAACACATATTCACAGTCATCTAGCTCTTGGAAAACAGGGGACCCCTATTACAATAAAGATAAGATTTAAAAAATGCCACAGATATATAGAATGATCCAAAAAGACAGATATTTGTGATCTCATGGTTTCTACTAAAGATTCTGTATACAAAAAATTATCTTGGAGATTGTTTTCTGAAAGACAGTTCATTTGTAATCCTAAAATGACTGGCAACTCAGAAAAACAATCTGCAAATGAATAACCCAAGCTGGAAAAAAAAAATAAAAAAAATAAAAGATGACATAACATCGAAAGTCCAACATAAGGTACACCAATTTTCTCCGGGCTTAAAGCTGCTCTTAAAGGGGAAGAAAACTCCCTTTGGTAACTTTTACCTACAGGTACATCTTTAATAAGGCTTACTTGTAGGTACTGTAAATGTCTCCTAAACATGCACAGTTTAGGAAATATTTACTGTGAAAGCACCTGTGATGTTACAGGCGCATGTGCACTGCGCTCTCAATGGACAGTGCATCATGGCGTGGCTGAAACCCCCTTCACACATGCGTGGGAGTGACACCAACGCAGCTCGGCCAATCAGATGGCCACATCTCAAACCCGGAAAGAAGACCGGGTAAAGATGGAAGCCTAAGGAGCCATGACAGCGCTCTGCTGGAGGGCTTCATTTTCAGGTAAGTCTTTCATAACGTGCTAGTATGCGATGCATACTAGCACATTATGCTCTTAAATTGCAGGGGAAGATTTTTTAGAAATTTTTTTGGGCAGTTTACTACCGCTTTAAAGCCGAACTCCAGCCTTACCTTACGTGATGAACAGTACAGGCTCCTCTCTGAAATGACTTACACTGATTTCACTGCTCATTGTGAGTTTTAAGGCAGGAAGTCAAAATCATGCCCGCCCCATTTGCTGGTTGGAGGACATCCAGCATCAACTAATTTCCTCCCCAGCCTTACTGTCCTTAGCTTCCCTCTTTCATTCACTGCATTTTAGTTCTTTCCATCACAAAGTCTAAGGATCAAATGGGGATGTTACCTAGGACAGTTGGCATGTAAATACAGTCTTGTCTAGGAATGCCTACTCCTCCAGCTCCCTCAAGATACAGCCTACTGATTACATGAGGGCTCTTAAGCACCTTCCTGCCTGGGTGTCTGAGTGGCCATGAAGTCAGGGAGCTACAAAGGATGAGAGAAAAACAGTAGTGTGTAATTTTCTTTTACCCACTGCTACTTTACTTAGCAAGACACATTATACTCAAACAAAAATTAATTTACTAGTTTTGTTTAGAAGCCATTGATTTCCAAACTAGTTTACATGGTGCCCCTTGCTCTAATACATACTTTCAAAACCACAAGGGATAGAGAATCCCTGAAAAAAAAAACAAGTCCACATTTAGTCAGCAGTCAAACAACTGGACAGTACAAAATAAAGAGAGTCGTACTATGTTGTGGTCACACTGGAAGATGATCCGTGTAGAGTAATGCTTGTTGTCTCTACATTTGTCTCCACTCATGTAGACAATGGTAAGAGACCCATCTGCTGAAGCCTGAGGACTCATCTGAATAAAGCCAAGATTGAAGTTTTTATTATCTGTAGTCTTCATGCAGGACCCAACAACTCCCCCTAAGGAGAAAACAACAGGTTATTTGCCTACAAGTAAAGCCACACTATATGCAAGAGAAGACAAATCGCAAAGACTCATATATAATCACTGTTACCATCTTAGGGATTAATTATGTTTTTGCTTGGCTTTACCATGAATGTGGTAGTAAGCTGAACATCATGGCGGAATGGACCCCACGGTCTACCCTGACACTAGCTTTGGTGTGGAGGCATGGAAACCGTAAATGTGATTAAAAGTTCACCTTTCCATGATCAGGGTGTAACATGTTATGATCTGACCAGCTCCCACTCCCCCATTCCCAACTTTAACAGCTATTGGGGGATCTTCTCCTCCCAAAGGAAAACAAAGAAGCACAGCACCTCTAAGTGTGTACTGTGAAGGTATTTAATAGAAAGATAAATATTAACTCACATCTTAGAATTTAAAAACAGGCTCATGGGTAAGAGGGTGGGACATGCCTGCTGGACTACCCTTACCCCTGCCCATTTGGAACTTATCAAACATGCATGGACTGCAATACCATGCGCCTGTTATCACTTTTGTATTGATCTTCTCCTCCCCCACCACTAGCGGTCAAATGGTTTAAAAAAACGTGGCCACTCGCAAACTCATTCACAGCATTCTGTGAATGAGCGACTACAAGTCCCGGCAGCCTTAGAGACTGTCAGCTTGTAGTCCTCAATGAACTACCACAGTGCTGTGAAGCTCTGTGGTAGTTAATTGAAGCATCCTGTCAGTATATCTGCTTGACTGTACATCCCATACAGCAAGCAGATATTCTGACAGCTCTGCAGGAGACCTGCATGGCATCAGCGATCTACTGATCGCTGGTGCAATGGTTTCCAGGCTCTTGCATACAAAAATAATAAAAGCACATTTTTTTACCTGCAAAAAAATGTGCATTTATTATCTTTGCTGAAAAGGTGAACTTAGCCTTTAATGCTGATCTCTAGGCAGATATAAAAGGACACAATTTATTGCAGCTATGTAATCATTAATATAACATTAGATTTATTTATTTTAATAAAAGTACCTGAATTAGAATTGGTATCACCCAACAGTACAAACAGTCAGTAAGTTCATGTGCTGACAAGAAGCATGCTGATTGGAGCCAAGTCACTGTGCTGCTTAACCTTCCACAGCCTAGTCACAGACTGGGGGGGGGGGGGGGGGGGGGATGTCCCGGACAACTTGGGTTCAGGGGAAGTGTATTAAATGATGCTGGCTACCAGATTGGGGACATCGAGCAGCAGAAAAGTGGTGCAGGGCTAATCAGTGGACTGAAGCTGAGTATGACAGCAAACACTGGTTGTTATTTAATGCACCCATCACTGATCCTAGAAGACTGCAGGAACATTCACAAAGCGCAGTGCAGCTTACGCAAGCGCAGTGGGAAATCAGTTTCCCTTACTTAAAGAGGAGCTCCAGTTTCCTGAGTAGAAATTAAAAGTCGGCAGCTACAAAATCTGTAGCTGCTGACTTTTCCTAAACAGCCTCTCATCTGTCTCACCCCAGCAGTTTTCATCTTTCATCTTCTGTCTTGAGTAGCCGCATCTTAACTGTGGGCACCGGGCTGTGACAGCTAGCAGCTTCACAGTCGGGTGCCCGCCGTGCTGTGCATTGTGAATAGTCCTGCAGTCTTCTGGGACTGGACACATGGCTTCTGACTGCCAAGGCCAGGGGTAGGCAACCTTAAGATCTACCTGAACAACATGGGAGAAGTCAAAGATAATGGGGCACAGTTTAGCCTCCTCACATCGGATTTAAACCTTTAAATCCCTAGCGCTGGATCCAAGACAGGCAATTGTCCTTATAATTAAAAGTCAGCAGCTAAAGTATTATTTTTTGGGAACAGACTGGAGCTCCTCTTTGGTGTACTATTGCACTGCTAAACTTGAAGTGCATGTCCAAGCACAGTAGACATATAGCCTACAAATCTGCAACACAAATATTTTGTCATGTTTTGGCTTTTTAAAAAATGTGGCAGGTAAAGAAACACCCACTGATCTACCAGAAATCCAGTGGGCTACTAACTTTGTGTTGTCGGCCCTGACCATTTCTGTTTTGCTGCACTACAGAACACTCCACCCTTTCCTGGAACTGGGCAGGCCTGAGTAAGTTATGTGAAAAGTCAGTGCATAGAAAGCTATCCATAGTCATAGGATTTCTGATAGATCAGCATGAACAACATTACATGGTTTTTAGAAGGAAAAAAAAATGTAGGGATATGTGCATGTATTGCAAAACATTAAATCAGTTTTAATTTGCCTTTTCATTTTATAGGTTTACAGTTCCATATTTTGGCCATTGCTTAAATGATACCGCCTAACTTCCTAAAACTGTTTAGATAAAATACAAACTGCATCGTTTTAGATGAGTTGGCCAACACAGACTTGCACTGTGAGAAGGAGCAAAAAAAACACAAACTGTGTATAGCACTGAATACCAGGAAGCAGAGCCTGCATATGTAATGAGCAAAGTTCACTGCAATTTTAAATATTTATGTACAAATTTGACAAAGACTAAAATACTTCTACAAGCTGTATTTAAAGCACAACACATGATTTTTAATGAATATACTATTGAACTAAGCCCCAATTGTAAATCATCATCATTAGTAAATAACAAATCTATACTGGACGAGGGTGCATTTCCCTGCGCACCATATGGCCAATTGATGAATCTAATATATAACCTTTATTCAAATATATAAAAAAAAAAATGTATGCTCAGCTGTAATTAATGCCTATTGGCGTGGAATGTACTGCGCACAACAATATAACTGGATACCATTGCAATTATTTACCTTACATCAAAATGGTTAATAACACCAGACCAAATCAAATACCATATCGTTTTAGATAAAGTGACGGCATACAAAGAGGCACTGTAGTTTGATCATAAGCCTATCAACTTGAATATATAATCTCTGCCAAGGAAATAGAGTTACCCCATGGACAAAACTAAATTAGATAATTATAATCTACAGATATGCTACAGATATGTAGAATGGGTACACTCGTCCATGGGCTTAAAATGTCAGCCTCCCATGGATAAGCACCATACGTCACCATATCCACCAAAAATACCTCACTTGCTTGAGGAATGCAAATGATGCACTGTAAAACGCAGTACAGACCTCTCCAAAAAAAGGGGGGAGAGGAATAAGTACCATGTGCATTCAAAAAGTGCTCCCAAAGAAAAAAAAGAAACTCTACATGTTTCGCTCCAGAAAACAGAGCTTCGACAGGAGTATACAGAATTAAAATAGGCCACATAGTGGCTGGAAGTTGTGCTCAGCTGCACATGGTGGCACCCTCGTCCAGTATAGATTTTTTTTTTTTTTTTTTTTAACATATACATAGATTAAATGGTGATCTTATCTATTATAGTTCAACAGTAAGTTGCTAAAATAAAATTTACGTAGCAACAACAGTACAATTAATAAACCATACTGCGTAAACTATATGTACATCGACCTGTCTCAGAAGCCTACTCTTCCTTTTCACAGGCCATGTAATTCTGGGGTAAGTAGCTTCCCCTGCAGAAGCTAAACAGGCTCACTCCTCCTGCCCAAGAACTACTGTAAGCCACAGATGAAAAAAGCAGATGTTGGCCAAAAACCTTACCTGGACATCCTCGAATATATGGAAGAGGTTTGCATACATTTAGGTAAAATGTTCTATTTTTTGCACTATCAGATGTATCTATAGCTATCCAAGGTTCATCATCCTGACTAAGGTCACTTAAATCATATTCATTTCCTGCGGTATCTAAAAAAAAAAAGAAGAAATACAGCTTTACAAAAAACAAGAAAAAAAAAATAATAATAAAAACACCCACAATATAAAGAAATGCAAGGACTTACCTGTAACTTGACAATCCACTAGAGAAGGAGAGCAAGCCATTGCCGTTTTAAAATCAAAAAATGTATGGTAGAGGTGAGTTTGAGAGTTTATTTCCTCTCTTGAAAAGATGAGTTCACCAGGATAGAAATCATCATTGCACACAAAGTTTATTGTAAACGTATCCCCTTGACCTAAAAGATAAAGACACGATATTAAACAATTAACAATGAGTTTTCTCTGATCTGCCACCACCACTTTCTCTAGGATAAGAAGCAGGTAGCAAAGCTTCAAGAAATTTGTAATTAACTATAAGGAGGTGTCTTTTCACTTGTATATCCCTAACCCACATGGCCAGAAAAATATGTAGACATGATCTCTATTTAGATGGCTTGCAGGTCCATCAGTACAAGGAGTCACATTATGAATCAGGTTATGGAAAGGGACAGGGGTCGTAGGTTTATAGTGACCTTAACCTCCCTGGCGGTATGATTATTTCAGATTTTTGGTGCTGAAAGCGGTACTATTATTTTGCATGGAAATTTGGCGTTTTATATTGTAGGCCTGTAATCCTTAGGAATAACTCACTGAAATCTGTCCAAACAAGAGTCTAGTAAACATCCCGGGAAGGATAAAACTTTAAACACGAAATCATAAATTATAATTTAATAACCATAAAAAATAATATAATAAATTTAATTCAATAATATAATCAAACCAAAAACACCGAAAGTTGAAATATAGCGCCAAATTCGCACATCACTGAGCAAAGTCGCAAAATTGTTTTCAGTGTCTGATGACGAATTTCTCCACGAATCATTATCACTCAATTCTGCAAGTGGTTCTGATTTACTATCGCTGTTCTCTAGCTGGTCTAAAACCGCTTTTGACCTAAAGGGACGCTTTTTGGACGCCATGGACATTTCTCAGTTTCCAGGCAATAAGAACAGTAAAAATGCAGGCAGGGCACAGGACAAAGCACTAGGGACAAAATGTATGTGAAATGGTTTGATACAGTAATGTTTTACTATGTGATTTTAGTGAATGTTACTTTTTGTAATTTTCAAATTTCCCGCCGTTCCATCCCCGTACGTTCGACGCTCCCAGGGGACAGAACCCAGAAGACAGATGCCGGCATCCGCCAGATTACATTGCCGGGGACACTGCAGGAGGGACATCGCGGGAGCGCAGGACAAGGTAAGTGATCGAGGAGCAGCGCTGCATGGTATTCCCGAGTGTAGCTCGGGGTTACCGCTTGTGGTACTGAAACTTTACCCCAAGCTACACTCGGGAATACCGCCAGGGAGGTTAAGCACCAGCTTACCAAGAGGAAAACAACAGCCACTAGACAAGATTTCCCAACCTGTCCATATTTTATTCCCCCCGACAAGTCAGGGGTACCTGCTAGTAGAGGTGACAATCTAATGTATATTTGTATCTTTAGCTTTCTAAAAAAAAAAAACTCCAAAAAAAAAAAACTCCATGTAAGAGCAATGCTGTTGCAATGTAGTACATGGTCATCATTTGTTTATATTGCTCTCCTTGTTACTGTCAGGAAAATACTTCTATCGTCTCTTGTATTATCACTGAGTGAAGGTATATCTTTGAAATGAGGACACAGACTGCAAGAAAAACCTGACAAAAATTCAAACTCTTCTACTCGTTAATATCTTTGTAAAAATGAAAAAGAAATGTGCATTAACCACTTGAGTTCCGCTCCTGTACACAGATTATGAGCCTGAGCAATTTTTTACTTTGGTTCTACTTATTTAAAAGAGAAGTGGGGGGGTGCCAGATTATACTTGCCTAGGTAGATGCTGCATCTGTCCCCTGCCGGCTGTAAGGGTAAGAACTCTGCGATCACATGACTGCTGATCTGAGTTCTCACCGCCGCTGTGAGCAGGGAACGGTGACTGTCAGTCACTATCTGCTGTCTGGGAAACAACGGTTTCCTTTCTTCAGACCATGAACATGTATATGCAGTAGGTCTGCCTGAGCCACCTAGAGATGGTGAAATGGGAAGCCGGTGCACCCTTACAAGCTCTATCCAGGATAAATGGAACTGCTCTTGCTAAAAGCAGCAGTGACAGAAAGATATTCTCACAGCCCAAAGTACAACAGGACAATGGAGGGAAATTTCTTTTGATGAACTAAAGCTGGGTAGAGGGTACGAAGAATAAAGTCCTGTTGGAGGTGAAAGGCAAAATCTATGTTAGGCAAGAAGGAAGTCCTAGGTTCCACACCACAATGTCACTATACAAAAACTAAAAAAGGTTCCTTGCAGGATAAGGCCTCCAGGAAAGTAATGTCTGTAATGGATTTAAAAACGGCAGTTTCTGAAGGGTGGAGAACAACAGATTTAGTTCCCACAGTCCCAGGTAATGGATGGAGGGAGCAACATGTGAGACCTCCTGCACAAAGGTCTTAACCAAAAATGGAAGACCAACCATCTCTGGACCAGAACAGCAAGAGAAAAACCTGACCCATGATAGTACTGAGACACAAACACTGATCCAGACCCTGTTGCAGAAAGGAAGGAGATTGTCCCACTAAGAAACCCCAGGGGTGGAAGTCCAAATACAATATTCCTTCCATATCCAATGACAGGCCTTGTGAAAAATAGACTTTCTAGCTTTTAGCATTGTAGGAATCAGATTAGAGACACTTGTATATCCCAGAACCTAAGCATGAACTGCCATGTTATTAAGGGCAAAGACCACGGTGCTTTTACAGGCTCAAAAAACAAAACATCAAATGCCTGTAAAATAACATTTCTGCTATTTGCAGCGGGGAGAGGGAGGCAGATACACAACAGTACAGCTTCTGTCTATGAGCACCACAGCTCTAACAGTTGCAGTGCCAGAAATATAGCAAAAACCATCATTCCCAGCATGAACTAAAGTGTAAATAGTAAAGGACAGCAATTGTGGAGTGGCATACACCTCATAAGAGTAAACTATTTGCTACCCAACACATTTTAAAGGATAAGTTAACCTTTATACAAAAAAATATTAAAATGCACATTCTTTTGCAGGTAAAAAAAAAATGCATTTATTATTTTTGTTTAAGGAGCCTCTAAAGCATTGCACCAGCAATCAGAAAAAAATATTAGTATTAAAAAGATGTAAACTGTAAAAGGATTAATTAAAAAAAACAGCTACGAGGAGAAGAAGTTGCTATAACAATACTGTAATGATGTATGAATGAATAAAGCCCTTTGCAAGCTTCATTCACACTGTGTGGGGGACCCAGCTGTCAAAGTGACAGCCATTCCCATTGATTTCATTGGGTAAAGTGAGCAGCGCAGGAGGAAATTCTAACAATAAAGGTTTAATATGTACGTTTTGTATGTTTCAACTGATTAAGGCTCGGTTCACACTAATGCAACCTGAAAGTCATGCAATTTCCTGGCGATTTGAGTACGACTTGATACACGATTTTGCCATGCGATTTTGCCATTTTTTTTTTTTTTTTTTTTTTACCAATTGGAAAAGATCAGTTTTTTTGTTAAATTTTGTTTCATTTACTGAATTTCTAACGAAATCCTAATTTTCAGAACAAATGGAATTTAATTCTGTGTAAAGAATAGCTGGTTGCTAAGGAGAGGGCCGGGAAGCCAGCCGCCGCATCCTTAACAACCGATGACTCATCAGCTGTCAGTGGTTTCCCCGCTGACAGCTGAATGTAAATAAAAGAATGCTGTGAATTAAAAATTAAACAAAAAAAAAGTTGTGGCGGTCCCTCCGAAAAATCCATACCAGACCCTTATCAGAGCATGTAGCCTGGCTGCTCAGGAAAGCGAGCGACACCCCCACCCCCAACCCTACCAGGCCACAAGCCCTCAACATGCTTTGGGGTAGGGGGGCAAATCACATCAATGTAGATGATGATTCGACTTGGAGGTGACTTCAATTAAAGTCTATGGGCACAAGTCGGATAGAAGTCGCCTTGAATTAGTACAGGAACCTTTTCTAAATTTGGAGCGACTTCAGTACTGCTAATTAGAACAGCTCTCATTGACGTACATTGGATTTCATGTCATGAGACTTTGGGTCTCAAAGGATATCTAAAACACACACAAAAAATGTCACATATTGCACCTTACCAGTCCTTAGACATGGTGGTTGCATTAGTTTTCATTTTTGCAGGATAAGCACTTTTTTTTTTTTTCAAACACAGAATACCGTAGCACTTGCCAGAATATAAGTATCTTTGTAGCCTTCTGTGTACTGAACTGCCATTTCATACAATGTTATCAGCTTTGCCAGCTATTTTCTGTGACCTACAACACAACTCCTCCCTATGTAATAGAGGTGAAAAGAAGGGAAAGTAATTCAAAACACGAGAGCAGCCTAGAGTGACAATGTTTCTCCATGGATACTGCAAAGCTGGCAGGAGCATAAAAAAAAAAAAAAAAAAAAAAAAAAAAGGAAATAAAGCTGGCAAGAACAAAAACTAATGCAGCCAAAACATCCAAAGACAGGTAATAAGCAACATATTGTATTGTTGTTTTGGGGTTTATATATGCTTTGAAGTAAAAAATGTCTTATACAAAAATATTCATGATGCCTACTCTGAGAACAGTAAGATGCTGAAGAACTGAACCTACTTTCATCTCTCAGGGAGTCTAGTAGCGAGATATTCCCAAAGTACATTAAACAAAATAGAGACCTTTACCATTTCAATCCCTCACCAACTATGTCAGCATGTGTGAATGGCAAGTGTGTGATTCTTCCTCTTACCAGTCTCTTCATGAATGGCTCCATGGTAGATAAGGGAGATGAAATCTGAAGAAAGATCCAGTGACTGGCTTATCTGGACAGGTCTAGATGCTACACCGCTTTCAAGTTCACAGCCAGCAGCTTGGGAATCCCCAACAGAACCGCAACCATCCACAGGGCCACATATGTTTAGCTATTGAACGATTAACAGAATTTTTTGTTAATAATCTCACAATATATAATATCTTAAGAGCACAGAAACAATGGCAGAACACAACTTCAGGACAAGCACTTTAATAACATTCTTCAGAAAAAGAAAAAAAAAGAGGCACTTTTGTCAGGATACAAGAAATAAGTCACTTCAGATGGAAGCCTGTATTGGCAGCCCAAGATGACCAAGTCACTTCAGATGGAAGCCTGTATTGGCAGCCCAGGAAGACCAACCAATGGGAGCCTCACCTCAAGATGGGAGCCTGTATTGGGAGCCCACGATGCCCACTTCAGATGAAGCCTGTATTGGCAGCCCAAGTGACCAAGTCACTTCAGATGGAAGACCAAGTCACCTATGGAGCCTGCATTGGCATCTCAGAAAGACCAAGTCACCTCATATGGGAGCCTGTATTGGGAGCCCACGATGACCAAGTCACTTCAGATGGAAGCCTATAGTGGCAGCCCAGGAAGACCAAGTCACCTCAGATGGGAGCCTGTATTGGCAGCCTAAGTAGAGCAAGTTACTTCAGATGGAAAGTCTTTTCTCTACATATAGTCAGGGAGTAAAGGCTGTGAATGGCTCACATGAGATATGAGAACCTCTTGAGCCAAGACTGTGCAGCTCAGGAGTAAGTGGTGCAGGGAGATGCAGCCATTTAGTATCCATTACCATCTCATAAATTTAGGTGGAAGATTTTACCCCAAGTAAAGTATGCAAACACATTTTTCTTTATTCCTTAAACTTTCTTTATTCCTTAAACCAGAGCTCCACCCAAAAGGGGAAAGTTCCACTTTAAGGATTGGCACCTTTGGGGAGTGGGGGGGTGGAGGGGTTACCAGAATTTAACAGGTACCCGCTCCCACTTCTGCTAGGTGATCGGAAACGGAAATTTTCACCCCTCCCTGTAGTCTTCTGGGATACGTGACAGGACCATTCAAAAGACGCAGCGCTACTCGCGCATGCGCAGTGGGCACCCGGCTGTGAAGCTGCAAGCTGTCACAGTCAGGAGCCCACATTGAAGATGCCAGCACCAGGGAGAGAGGATGGTCAGTGAGGATACCGCTGGATCACAGAACAAGTGAGTGTATTTTAAAAGTCAGCAGCTACAGTTTTTGTATCTGCTGACTTTTTTTTTTTTTTTTTCTAAATCTGACTGGACCTCTGCTTTAAGGCAAACAGGAGTGGCATTAAGGTAATATAGAAGGGGAGAGCTCCGGATTGAAGATTACTATTGCTACAAGAGAGGTTTTCATTTTTTTGGTTCGTCAAACCTTACAAAAAGGGCTATGGACTCTCTTCCCATCCTCACGGGAAAGCATCAATGTCTGGTTGTTGAAATTGTGAGAGGGACAGTCACATTTTCCCCATACCCGAAATTCCGTCTCTTCCTTCTAGGACGCTGAACATAGCAGTGTGTACAGAAAAAAGGCAACTACATGGCAGTAGGTTGTTCGTAAACGTTTTTTGCTTTGACCCACATGGGACAAAAAGGTACCAGCCACACAAACTGTTAGCAATGAGTTGCCTAAACTCCAACTACAGTTAGGTCCCATATATATTTGGACACAGGCACAATGCTAGTTTTTTCAGGTATTTACCAAAACATTTTCAAACTATAGTTATATAATAGATAAGGGCTGAAAGTGCACACTCTCAAGTTTAATTTGAGGGAATGTACATCCAAATTGGAGGAAGGGTTTAGGAATTACAACTGTAAAAGTAGCCATCCCCCTTTTTTCAAGGGACCAAAATTAATTGGACAGTTGAATCAAAAGCTGTTTCATGGCCAGGTGTGGGCTACTCCTTTGTTATTTCATCAATTAAGCAGGTAAAAGGTCTGGAGTTGATTCTAAGTGTGGTATTTGCATTTGCAATTTATTGCTGTGAACCTACATCATGCGTTCAAAGGAGCTGTCCATGCAAGTGAAACAGGCCACTGTAAGGCTTCAAAAATGAAAAAAATCCATCAGAGATAGCAGTAACATTAGGAGTGGCCAAATCATCAGTCTGGTACATTCTGAGGAAAGAAGAATGCACTGGTGAGCTCAGCAACATAAAGGCATGGATGTCCACGGAAGACAACAGTGGTGAATGATCACAGAATCCTCTCTATGGTAAAGAAAACCCATTCACAACATCTAGACAAGTGAAGGATACTCTCCAGGAGATGGGCGTATCATTGTCAGTCTACAATCAAGAAAAGACTTCACGAGAGCAAATACAGAGGGTTCACCACCATGTGCAAACCATTCATAAGCCTGAAAAATAGAAAAGCCAGATTAGACTTTGCCAAAAAAATCTAAAAAAGCCAGACCAGTACTGGAAGAGCATTCTTTGGATGGATGAAACGAAGAATAATCTGTACCAGAATGACGGGAAGAAAAAAATGTGGAGAAGGCTTGGAATAGCTCATGATCCAAAGCACACAACGTCATCTGTAAAACATGGTGGAGACAGTGTGATGGCATGGGCATGCATGGCTTCCAGTGGCACTGGGACATTGATGTTTATTGATGATGTGACAGAAGACAGAAGTAGTCGCATGAATTCTGCAGTGTTCAGAGATATACTGTCAGCCCAGATTCAGCCAAATGCAGCAAAGCTGATTGGACAGCGCTTCACAGTACAGATGGACAATGAACCAAAAACACACTGCAAAAGCAACACAGGAGCTTTTGAAGGAAAAGAAGTGGAATATTCTGCAATGGCAGAGTCAACCACCTAATCTCAACCCCACTGAACATGCATTTCACTTGCTAAAGGCAAAACTAAAAGCAGAAAGACCCACAAAGAACTGAAGACAGCTGCAGTCTGGCAAAACATCACAAAGGAGGAAACCCAGTCTTTGGTAATGTCCATTGGTTCCAGACTTCAGGCAGCCATTGCCAGTAAAGGATTCTCAACAAAATATTAAAAATGAACATTTTATTTACGATTATATTCAATTGTCCAATTACTTTTGGTCCCTTGAAAAAGGGGGAATGGCTACTCTTAAGAGCTGTAATTTCTAAACCCTTCCTCCAATTTGGATGTACATATCCTCAAATTAAACCTGAGAGTGTGCACTTTCAGCCCTTATCCGTTATAGAACTATAGCTTGAATATGTTTTGGTAAATACCTGAAAAAAAAAATTAAATTGTGCCTGTGTCCAAATATATATGGAGCGAACTGTACATATATATACTGTAATTAAGATACACAGAGAAATGCTATAGTTTTTGTATGTTTTTTTTGGGGGGTTAAGCATTACATACCTTTGTAAAACAAGTTATTTTAATTTTGTCCCTCGTTACACAAATGCTATATAAAAAAAAAATGTTTACATTCCTGGTTTTGTGACTAGGCCACGCGCGCTACATCACAGCTATCCCAGGAGGCAGAGTTTTACAAGTATTCAAGTTAGCATGTGCAAACATGGCTTATCTCTGCACATACATACAAACGTAGCAGCGCTATAGTGCCAATCTAGCAGGAGCTGGCGGCACTTGGGTGTATGCGTGGGAATCTGCTGCACGTGCTTTAAAAAACCTAGTCACTTTTACATAAACATTAACAAAAACACTGAAAAGTCTGAACATTCCCTTTAGGTAATGTCAATGTGCTAAAAAGGCCAAACAGTTGTATTGCAGGACAGTTTCTATCATTTCTGCTGTCTTACACTTATCTAGGGATATGTAAACCTTGCATTAGTAGGCACGTTAATCCTGATAACATCCACATAAACTTCTTTTCTTTTACATAAGAAAATCCAGCTATTTAGAACTCTGGCTCTTTACCTTGTATGTTTTACCATTTCCTTTAGCAACATATCCAGACTGATTCCTCAAAGATTCCAAATTATAAATAAATCCTGTGTTTGGGTTTTCCACTTTACACTCCTGCATGAAAAAAACAGCAATGAGTTATAGTAGGTAGACTTGGGAACCATCAATATAGGAGACTCTATCAGCTATTATAAAGTAGCTGTAAAATCAATACCCAAAACATTTTTGGCACCATACACAAGACTTTAATAGGATTAAATTTATGTTCATTTTAATATTTATCAGTATTAAACATCCAAAAAGAAAAAAAAAACCCTAGAACCTTAAAGTCTACGTGTAGTAAGGAAGAAAAAACACAAAATCAGCACAAGGGATGTAACTTTATACTAATTGCACCCTATGCCCTTCCTTTCCACCCAGATCCTGAATTCATATGAGCTGGTACGACAGTTTAATGAATGAAACGTGATCTATGAATGAAGCGGTGGACCTTTTATTCACCCACCTGTCCTCCATTTAAAGATCCAGTTCCATCCATAGAATCTGTAGAACCAGCTTCTATGAATGGAGGAGCTGGGTGGAAAGGGCGAGTATAGTCGGGCACTCTTTATGTGTGCAAATGAGAGCTCCCTCGGGTCTAAGCCACACTGAAAGATTATGGCTGTGGGGGTGATGGGTATTGATATAGGAGGATTTCACGGAAACCAAGAATCAACAGTACAAGGGGCAAAGCACAGTAATAGTAAATCATGTCCCTTGTGTCAATTTTTGTTTTTTTTATTTTGACTACACTTAGGTTTTAAAGCAGAAAACCATGAAAACTTTTGTTTCAGTCATGCAGTGGGGCTGTGTCTGCACTGAAAGGATTAACTGCTCATTGTGTCTGGGGGCACAACGAAAGGCTATACTTACCTGATCCCCCGATCCTCTGGAAAACAGTGCTCCCCCACGTCCAGCGGGGGACTGTTCCTGTTGTCCTCACGTCCACAGTGGTTCATGGGCGTGAAGATGTCAAGAAAAGTACATTCACAAATCCAAATGCAGGGGGAGAAGGAGCAGACGCAGAAAGGACCGGTCTTGCACTCACAGGATCAGTGGATTAGGCAAGTGCATCTCCGCTCTCCTTACCCCTAGCCAAAAAAAAAAAAAAGAGCAGTTAACCAATGCAGTGCGGGCACAATGCCACTGCATGGGAAAAATACATTTTCATGGAA